CTGCGTGCATGCGCAGGTTTCTTTGGAAACGGTCGTTTCCCAAAGAGGTAGGATGCCTGATCAACCATCTAGCCGTTGATTACCTCTTCTGTGTCAATGGTTGCCTCCAAAAAACCAAGCCAGCGCTTGAAAATTGTCTGCATTTGGGTTAAATAGGGTATTGCCCCCCCATGGAAATGCGTCGGCTTCCCCTTGGGCTCATGCTCAAACAGGCCAAAACAAACAACAACGAAGGAAAGACCCCAAATGAACTCGACTCAAACTGGCCTGCTGAAGCTCCGCTCGAGATCGAATGGCCGGAGGCTCATCTAGCCTGCAAAAACCATGCGATCAAAGCTGGGTTGTTCAACACGAGGGATCCATAATCCTACTCCGTAATCCTTTGCGGGGCTCCGCTACCAAGGAAATCACCACCACGACAAAAGGGTTGAAATTGAACAGCCAAACATGCCAGCAGAACCACTTCGGATGCCGGACCTCTGCGCGAACACATTGAGCGTATCCGAGCACCGACCCGACGAGCAGCTCACATCACAGCTCAATGGTCATCGTATGCAGCTGAGGCAGCCACAGCTTTCTCTGCAATGTGAGATTTGTCCTTCAAGTCTCCAAGAATGCAGCACCCAACTCAACTCAGTGCCCCAAGCAGTCCTACAATGTCAGAATGCCTGACATCAAAAAGCAGGCGGAACCAAGACTCCTTGAACGGCTTGCTGTGGTGGTGAAACCCGTAGATGTCATAGTTCGGGACAGTGTAAGCACCCTGGCACTCTGCGGATCACAAACTCAGCCAGCAGCAAAGCAGTAAACATGCCCAAGATGCTGGCGCTGACATGGCTCAAGATTTTGTCATCCAATTCGCCCAAAAAATCGTGCATATGCGATGGTGTCGCATGTTGTTTGTGTCCCTTTGCTTCACATTGGTGTTCCAATCACGTGATACATCCCTTCTGATATGGTTGGTTTGCTCTCATAAACACTGCTCCGAATTTGCGTTTAGAGCCATTGGCAAATGCCGCAATGCTGATCAATGCCGGACATCTAACGCGTGTTGCGAGCCGCTCGATACTAATCACACCATGTGCTGCAATCATGCAAGCCAGCCACATCAACACTGTCAATGTTGTTGGTTTCTATCTTTCGGGCGCGTGACCTACGCCCCACATGAGCAAAACGGAATCACCAACATTGTTGATGATTCGTGCAAAAAATGAAATGAAGCGTCGGGCACCTTGCAACGCTTCACCTCTGCAGTTGTGCTATCGCAACACGGGCAGGGGACACTCACCAACTGCCCTATCCCAGACGAACACGCAAGTCCCATCTATATATAGACACAAGATGGGCCCCAAAAAATGAAACTACTTTTCGGGCTTAGCTGCATTTTGATCTCCCTCACAGAAAACACTTGCTAAAACTAGCAAAGCTGGATCTCGGAGATGGGGGAGTACCACAATAGCAAGTATGAGGTTCAAGGCTCAAAGTTCAACATATCTTGAGTTTGCATCTTTTCCTTTTTGTATTCTGAACATTGAATCCCGGATGTCCACTACTAAGATGAGTGCAGTGAACCAAATACTCCCCGAGCATTTCCCCAGTATTCCCTCAATATTCTCCTACTATTCACCCTTAATTCCCCTAGACTAAACACAAACACCCGAAGCATTTGAGATTAGATGCATGCGTTCCCTGCGTGTTTCCCCAGTATTCAGTATTCCCGAATTGTTCCAAGGGCCCGCACTATTCTCCCAATATTCCCCTAGTATTCCCTTAGTATTCCCCAATTATTCCCCTAGTATTCTTGAGCTCCCTGCCCGGGGTCAGGCTGTAGGTGCGTACGATGTTCCACGGGTTCACTGCCAGGGTCAGGGTGGAGCCGTCGACGCTCACTGTTTTCAGGTTGCCAGGAAAAACGACGTCCAATTTGCCAGTCCGTCTGGCCCAGGCTGCTCCCCGACGCAACTTGTCGGCCCCACCATCCGGGAAGCGCACGGCTATCTCCAGGCTTGGGTGTGAGCATCCACCTGCGCGATGGCGTAGTAGCTGAGCAGGCCTGGTCGGCAGCTGAGTGATACGCCACCAGCGCCGAGGTCACCTGGTTGGTTGTGAAAACGGTAGGCCAGCAGTGCGCCCGCAATGGCAGCCTGCGTGCGTCCTGCGCGCTTGCCGTCCGGTAGGAGGTGTAGTAGGCCAGCAGCGCACGTCCTGCGCCGTCCCCGTTCGGCAGTCGACCAACAGAGCGTCCACTTGCGCCGAGGTGTAGTAGGCCAGCAGCGCCGTCGCGAGGGCTGCGTCCGCTGCTGCTACCGAGGAGCAGTCGGCCGTGATGCTCAGCGTGTCGTCGCCGTTGGCCAGCGCAGCAGAGAGAGGAGCCGCCAGACGCAGGTTGCGAACGACGTTGCTTCCGCGAACGAGCTCCCCAGGCCGGCGCGTTAACAACTCCCCCGCTGCCGGAAGGCTGCAGGGCGGCGAGGTCCGCGAGGATTGCGTTGAGGTCTGGAGCGTGGTCTCGCTGGCGGAGAGCGCGGCGTTCGTGGCGTACGAGGCCAGCAGCGTCGCGTCGGCCTTGGAGCCCTGGAGCGCTGAGATGCTGGCATCCCGGCTCGCAAGCTGCGCTTCGACGAAGGCAAAAAACGAGACCCAGCAGTGCATTTGCTATCTTGCTGTCTACCTCCAGCGGTGTGTCCAACCCGTCCACCGTGGAAAGCAGGGCGGCCAGCGCGCTTGCGTCCGCCTTGCCGGCGAGGGCGGCGCTGGTCCGCCTTGGAGGCGCAGGCCCGAGATGGAGGCGTCTTGGCTTGCGAGCTTGGAGGCCAGCGCTGCGGCGGTGACTTGGCGTCGACCTGCAGCAGCGTGATTCTTGCTGCGATGTCGAGGGAGCGCTGGTCCACCACCGTAGTTGGCTGCCACCGTGGCCAGCGTGGCGTTGTTTGCCGAAGCGATGGAGCCGTTCATGGCTCCCGTAATGCTGTAGTTCGACAGCTTCAGGCCCACGCCGTCAGGGGTGCTTTTCGTGGCCACCAGTCGAATGCAAGATCTTGATATCGGAGCATAACCAACGATCTCAAACCCGAGGAGAGCCAGCCACTGGAGCCCTGACCAGCAGCTTCTAGTTGGGTCATCTTCTTCTCGTAAACCTGGGTAAGAGAGAGAAGCGAGTTTGATGAGGGGCCAAAATGCTTGCCAAGTACTATAGCCAAACAGTGACGCCAATGCACAGGCTGCAGAATTCCTATTGCTAGTCTTGTGATCCGCCTTGGTCTTCTTGAGAAAAGGCTTGTGCACAGGTCTGTCCTGAGGAGCCCCAACTTTCTCAGCGCCAGTTGCATGTGTTTCCATGTCTCAGAAAAGTGGCGATCTGCACCTCTTAATCCTGCAAGGGACACACACACACTGATCTTTTGAAGAGGAAATGGATAACACAAGCAAAAAACCTACCTAGGCGAGAGAAGGGATCAGTTAGGGGTCCCAAATCCAACACCCCTAGGCGAGCCGGAGCCCCACACTAGGCAGAGAATGGATCGCGAAAGGGGACCCAAGCCCAACACCTACCTAGGCAAGGCGGGGCCCCACACTAGTCACAACAAGGACCAATGCCCAACACCCACCTAGGCGAGGCGGAGCCCCACACTAGGAACCCGTGTTCGGTGTGGGCCTACCACCTACTAACTTCTTTGGCTTGCCGAGCAACTTAAGCCGATACGGCCTTAAGCCAAAAGGGCCACAAGTTTCCGCAGATGCACAACAGGAATCGCCATCTCAGACGCCACCCGCGCTTCTCGCCGGACGCACTTCGGCGGACGCGGTTTCCAAGGCAGACGCCCAACCTGCTGCACCCCCTTTGCAGTATCTTCCCTCCAGGGAAGTGATTATGCTGGGTGGGTTGCTTCAAGTGTCGGAAGCCTTGCGACAGCTGCAGTCAGGGACACTGCGGCCGCTTGGGGGGATGGAGCGATGAAGCCGCATCCTCACAATTGCAGGCATTGCTATGCCAGGCGCGACCGCATCGCACCGATCTCTTTTTAATTCCCTTCAAAAAAAGGGAGCGGCCTGAGTTGGCTTGCCAGCATGTTTTTGCGCTTCCCTTCTCTTCTTCCTTCTCTCTCTGTGTGATTTCTTAGCTTTGCATCAGGGCTGCCATCCATTAAGTGCACAAGATGATGGGCTCAGAGGATTAGGTTGGCTTTGCTTCCAACTTCGCTGCCTGGCTTTGCATGCCCCAGGTGTCCGTCGATTCTGCTGCAACATAACGACCCCGAGATATGCTTGCAATTTGGCTCCAGGTTGCATTTCAAGCGAGCCAACCTTTGCAGGGCTAAGAAAAAAAAAGAAAAAAGGGGTCCCCAAAAAAGTCGTCCCGAAAAAAGGGAAAAGGGGTTTCCTTTGGCAAAGCTTGACATCGCTTGAAACGCAACCTGGAGCCACATGGCGGCGCATATCTCGGGGTCGTTATGTTGCAGCCACACGCCTGCACGCAGCGTTTTAGGTTTCGAATCCTTCGCAGGACGAGGTCGTTTCCTGGACGGACGAGTGTCAGGAGCCTACCAGGTGGAATAGAATCCATTTGGGAAACCCCCTCTAAAGAGAGAGCAGGTCTGCTCTGCAAAGAAGCGTACTCTGCAAAGAGGCGTGCCAGCCTGCGGGGCGCGGGTCATCTTGGGGTAGAACAAGGAGCCCAAGCAGCTCACGGTCCTCTTCCGCTCGGCACCACACGAAGCAGCGGTGGCAGAGGGCCTTCTTCTTCGCCAGGGTCTCGGGCAGCTCCTTCCAGCAGCCTCCCGCCTCGTTGGGCGGCTGGGGGCGCGGGCATGTCGGCCAGCTGCTGCCTCTGCAAAGAAGTGTGCTCTGCAAAGAAGCGTGCTCTGCAAAGAAGCGTGCTCTGCAAAGAAGTGCTCTGCAAAGAAGTCTGCTCTGCAAAGAAGCGTGCTCTGCAAAGAAGTGTGCTCTGCAAAGAAGTGTGCTCTGCAAAGAAGCGCAAGTGTGCTCTGCAAAGAAGAGTA